CCTGACGAACGACCGGAAGCGAAGAGAAACCACCTATAAATGGTAAGTAAAATGATACGGTAAAATGTCCCTATTCGATAAATTCGATACGCTTGTGAGATAAATTGGGGGATTTTTTCATCCATTTTCATTCCCAGGGATTTCGACGCAGGGGTTGCCTCCAGAATGCTCCTCGATTATCCACCGGTGAAAAATGACTTTCCACCGAAGCATCATCGGGGAATGATCGAGTGTCATTGATTCCGGCCTGTCTAGATTGATATTAAATTTAGGAATGAAAATGGACGTGCAATTGAGGTCGGGGAGTTCGACGGATGGAATGGGCAGAGTATTTTATTTTTATCCCTCTTTCTTTTGTCTTTTCTTACCGAGGCTTTTGTCGAGAGTGAAAAAGGGCGAGGAAAGGCTTATGGCTGTTTACCGGGGGAAATTAGCAAATAGGTTGCGCATCTGCAGGAGGGTGGGGCGTTCCATTTAAACGAGGGCAACTCGAATCCCGAGGGACGCTTTTCTTCGGGGAGGGTTAAGGAAAGGCGATTAAACGCGTCTTTATTTAAATGAGGAGGAACGAATGCGGGGAATTGGCCTTCGGCTGCTGCCGTGGGTAGTTACTTATTTGCGATCGCTGTAAACGCCGGTCGAGGTTATGTTGCCTCCGAAATCTAATTACACGTCTGCAAAGATATACCCCCCGACAGAAAAACGATTGCGCCGAGGTAAGGGGAGGAATAATTTCCAAGATTAATTTACCCAGAGATGCGCTCCCTCTATTCTCTCCGGACAGACGGCAGGCGTCGTTTTGACATGCTCGGTTTTATTCCCCATTTTTCCATATCCTTCCCTGGTTTTTTTTTGTTTTTTTTTTTCGGCGGGATTTATAGAACGTCGTTAAAGCACGAATGCACGTGCGATGGGACAAATTGGGGGAAGTAAAAAAACCAAAACGTTCATCGGATATGCCATATGATGGGCGTAAAAAATAGGGACGCGACCCACGGCGAGCAATAATTCCGACGCGAATCATTTTCCCCCCCTTGGGAGGGAGGGGCGGTAAATTAAAAAATCCACAAATTCGGGGGGATTCGACGAAACTTCAGGAAATTCGATGGAATTGTGTCTAGTGCGGCGCAGTGCAGGTTGGCCATTATTACTGCCGTATGGAGGAGGCTTGAGAGAGCTTTTTCGAATTCGGATACGACAATGCACTTTTGGTCCGGTAAAAATGGCGATGGGCGCCGGCGACGAAGATGTCTCTTTTTTTTTTTTTCAAGATGGCGAAAGGTTTCGTCGCGCTCCCCACAGTTTCTGCGACAAGCTCGGGTAGCACTTAACGCGTCAAGTAAACTTGACGCGTACCGGAGAGACGGCAATGTCGCACTTCCGCCGACTAATTGCAGCAACTGGCAGCCTGCTGCGAAGTTGCACCTACAGCAGGGTGCGTTCACCCCTGCAGCAGGGGATGCATTTGGGTGCAACGATGTGCCGCTCTGCAGAGCGACACCAAAGCGGCTGCATTTGCGAATTAATCGGCGCCGAGTAATTACCGAGGGTGGGTGCAAGAAAGGGCTGAAAACCCGGCACGTCGGCCGGAATCTTGTCGAAAACAAGGAAATTCGCCGACACGAAGCCGGAAGGCCAGGCGATATCGTATCGGGATTTCGTTTCGCTTTTGAGCCCGATGGCCGGAAGACTGAAAATATCGAAACGTCCAGCGGTATTTCCGCTTTGAAGAGAGGATTTTACGAGGCTAAACCGGGATCGGCGGAAGCTGCGCTGAAGGGCCGCCCTTTGCAGGGGCACTTCCGGTATCACCGGGGAATCGGAAGTGCTCTTAGTACCTACGAGATGACTTCCCGAACGCTGTTAAATTATAATTCCGGGGCCCACGAAGGAGGATAATAATTTTCGGAAAATTGTCAACCGGACTTTCCGCCCGGTTGTCATCCTTGACCCGGCCAAAGAATTCCCCAATGAGGTGGAGGATTTTACAAAGCGCGAGCTGTAGCGTGTAATCGGCGCCAAATGGACGATCGCGAATTACACGGCTCGTGAACATTTACTTTGCTGTGTGCTAAACGGGTTTACGCCGGATTACGCGGATTAATCCGCGCGGTGCGCATTATCCTTGCCTCCGGGTTCCGCGTCTCTGGCGGTTCGAAAATTATCTCTCTCTCCCTCGCTCCCCTTTTTCCCAGGGTACGGATTCGGCCGGGATGGGCTTCGAAAAATTTATAATGGTAATCCTATACGGGAAGGAAAAAAGGGGGGAGAAAATAGAGCGGCGCAAACCACCCCCAGCCGAGGGAATCCGATTAACTTGGAAGCGGAGCGAGTCCCAGCGAACGCTTTCGATCCTTTTTTTTTTCCCCGGGGAAACCGAGCGGATAACGCCGATTTTTCAGAGGACCTTGATCGAGCCTTGGACCCTCGGCTACAGGGTGGAATTTTTTCCGGAGCTCCCCGGGCTCTGAGAGATCCTCCACCGAGGATAATCCAGGGCGCCTCGCGGTGCCTCGAGGTGAATATTAAGGGCGTTCGTGTTTATTGGAATTAAACCGAAACATGTACGCGTTGGCTTTATGCAAACTCCGGGTGTATATTCCTTCCCAACCGGAAGAACGATACCCAGGAAGGACGTTATTCCACGCGGAGAGGCGTTGAATTTTTTCCCCCTCGAGGTCTCGCCTTGATTTACGCCCTCGCCAGGTTTTAAATTAAATTCCCCCACCTCGACGTTTACCTGGTGGTTAACATCACCTTCGCGCGAGATAAAAGTGATCGGATATCGATCACAATTATAACGCACTTTAATTATCCGAAATTATTTTCCCCGACTCGAAGCATCCTCCACCCTTGTTATCGGGTCGTCGGGCTTTTCTTGTATACACCCTTGTATATCCTTCTGTACTCATAGTCGAAAAATCAGGAAAGCCGCGATCCTTCGCTCGAGGGTTAACCGAAATATTCCATTAGGTAGGGGTAAATAATCCTGTTTTCCCTCGGGGAGGCATCCCAGGACGCGATCGAGGATCCCACCCAGTTATGGGACATCCGCTGGGAATGAGAGGAAATTGAATGGAGATCCGAGAATAAGGTGTATCCCCCTTTGCGCGTAAAGGTGGGGAAACGGGAGAGTAGGTAGAAAAAAAAAAGAAGAGCGGGATCAAGGAAACGGGAAGGACGGCCTGGAAGAGACACCTCTGCGGGGGTCCTGCAGGAAGAGACGGAAGGTTATGAAACGTCGAGGCGCCTTCCTGGGCCTCGGCCCCGTTTCGACAATTCCAAGGCTCCCGAGTCACATTTATTTCCAGAAAGCCGCGCCATTTCTACATCCGTGGATTTGTATATCCTGGATTTATAAGCAGACCCGAAACGGAGCTTCTCCCCGACGCGGCGGAATGGCCGGACCATTTCCTCCGTCCCGGCCAGGCGTCTGTTAATAAACTAATGAACTAATTTCGGCATTAACATTTTACCGTCTCGTTAAGTGCTAATTGACTGATGAAATCCCGGGTTTAATCGGCTGATTGCAACCGAATCTGACACGCAGGATTTCGGTGGCCATTAGGCGCGATTGGGTGGGGCCGAAGTTGTCGGCGGAGCTGAATTAATAATGCCGCACGAAATCGGGCGACAACTGCGCGAACAACTCGCAGGAAGTCCGCGGACTCGGCTCGCGATTCTAACCTGACTAATAACCAGGTGCGCAATTGCAAGTGCAGCGCGCCCGGAATTGCTGAGCAGGACGGGCTCCCGTAAGGACTCCATGTAATTACGACCTCCTGCGAACGCGGTGAATTCCCGATGCCGTTGAGGAAGGTTTTCCACCTAGAAATTGCAAAAAGCGAGGTACACGGCAAAGGACGAATTCAATTTTGAGCACACTTCGCTGCAGATACCCGGAGCCACCTGTTGAATGGATTTTTCGCGCCTGAAGAGTGGCCGCCATTTTGCGCGCTAATTCGGCATCGGAAGGACCTTCGAATCCTTGGGAAGGATACGAGGATCCTTCATCGGGGAGTCCTGCAAATAGCCTTGCAATTTAATTGATTTCATTTGATTTAGGAATTTAATTCGGGAATTTAATTCGGCATGGACTGGACCTTCGAATCCTGGAGGAGATCAAGAGGCCGGGTCCCTCATTAACGAGTCCTGCAGGAAACGTCGCAATTTATAGCGACGCTTTTATGGGAATTGAAGGAGGGGGGAAGAAGGAAAGAAACGGGGAAGGTGGAGATAAGTGAAACAAGGAGGTCGTTACGGAGCGGCAGGACGCCGGAAGGGATGATTTTCGCAGACGGGGCTCCTGGGCACTTCCTTGATGCATCCTTCCTTCCCCATCCTGCATCCGGGCGCGTATTTCTGCACAAAGGGGAGAGATAGGGCGTCGCAGTCACGGGGAGCAAATCGAAGAAGAACCCGGCGTATCTCCCGCGACAGTTTACAAAGTGTCCTGGAGGAAGAGGAAAGTCTTCCAGAGAGGAAACCCAACGCGAAGGAGTCGACTTGAACCCCTCGACCAAACCGAGGGGGATAAGATCCTCCCTGTCGTTCCTAACCTCGAAATTCCTCCGAAGTACCGTCTACGCGATCTTCCCCCGAGCTTTTTGCCCCGTAAGAAAAATGTAGATTACAGGAATTCCCTTGGGAAACTCGGTAAAAGTCCATTAAAACGGGGCGCAATTATTGGTGTCTTCTTGCAGGGGCGCAAAGGACCTCGCACGATGCGAGGCGGGGGAGGAGGCCAAAAACATGGCCCTCCTCCCTCCGCCGTTTACAAATAAATAAAAAAACCCCTGTATGTACTGCGTGCTCGCTTCCGAACGAGCGGATCGACTTTTTAACGACCCGCGCGTTCATAAAAAGGAAACGCGTCGGCCATATTGGTCCCCAGTTTGACGAGGGCGGCTCGTTTTTCAAGCGCGGCATGTCACCTCTTCCGAAGGGGTAGGTCCCTGTGCGTTTATTTATCGGGAACCCCTATTTTGGATGTTTTCCAGAGCCGTATTGTCCGGCGATTTTTGATGGATGGTCCTGCTGGCCGAACACCCCCGCAGGGACGACCGCCTACGCGCCCTGTCCGGACTTCGTCACGGGATTCGACGCCTCCTGTGAGTACGATATTCGACACCATTGTCCAGGACCATTGAAATCTTCATTCTACACCCTCTGACGAAGCCTGCATCGCTCACCATCCCAATCATCGCGATTTCCAAGGTCGGAATAAAAATCTCCCAAAGAACGCCCCACAGCGCCATCACCATTTTTTCCTGCCAACGACTCCTTATATTCTTCCATTGTTCAAGAGGAAACAAGAAAACGGTGTCAAGGGTGTAAAAAGCATGCAGCTTCGCCAGGGTAACGTTTAATTTAAGGATATCACGAGATCTTTGAGTCTGGTCCAAACTCTGCGACCCCCCGGGCGCCGTTTCTCCTGGGAGACTTCAATGCCCGAAACCGCACCTCGACTTGTGTACATATCCCTATATTTGCATAATTATTTATATGTATATACATTACCAAGTTGCCGAGCCGCGTTGTTGCAAGATTGTCCGGGGGTCTTGCGTTTCCCGTAAGTTTAAACTCGGTGCATAATTAATAAAGAGGTTTCGGCCAGGGCAACATGGCGTCTCTCGGGGTGGGCGGCGAACTTAATTTGGGAAGGTTAATTTTCCGGGGCGTGTACGTGTCCATAAGTTGGAGGTCCCCCACGCCGCGGGGAGTAATTTGCCGAAGGATTAACCTTATCACCGACCCTCTCGAATTCTCAGGGCCCTTCGGAAAGAGATTCCGCGATACGGCGTCGGTAATGGCGGGCGTCCCGGTATTGGGGAGGTGAGCGGGAAATTAATTCCGCATCGCGTCTCACCTCCAAAACGGAGTTACATAGAGCCCCGGAGTGCTCTTATGGAAGGCTGGTAATTAGCGGCGGTGCCGATGTCCCGGTAATGTTTTCCAACTCGGAAAGTGGGACAGCCATTAATGAAATCCCGCGTTACCGATGAGGAAGATGGCGCATTCGCCGGCGGTTTAGTCGCGTTGTAAACGCGACGGTGGAACCCCGCTCGTGAGAAAAAAAAAGAAAAAAAAAAGAAGAAGACCAAATAGCGTCTTTGCAGCCGCGCAAATTTGTCTTACCTTCGATTATTGCCTCACGGCAATAAAACACTTGACGTCACCAATAACCCGAAACGAGGGGAGCGATGGGAAGTTAATATTTGCGGCATTTCCCTCGAATTACTCGATCCCTTGTGACGAAAGATCCCAGGGCTCGAAAGATGGCTTATCGCCCAATGGCTGCGTGGCTCTTACGGAAATTTATGGTCACGTGGGGGCGAAAATCGTGGAGGGGAGGAATGGCGGAAAAGCAATCGACGCGGTATTGCGAGGGCGGCCCGAAAACCGGAAGTAACCTCGACCTTCCTCCCCCGGATTTTACGGGGGTCGAGTTTTCTTTCTCATTTCGCCTTATGACGAAATTCGACGTAGGGATTTTTTCCCTGAAAAGTCCCTCACGGGTTTATCTCTGATGACAACTTGTTGCGCACTTTTCGCCTCTCCTCGCCTCCAGGTCGCCTTCCTGACTTCTCGACATCCTAGCAAGTTGAACGGGGAAAATGTGAATGAAGAAAATCCCGACACTTCGTAAATGAATAATGACTTTATTATATTTAGAACATCTTATCAGTGGATTATTTATATTTCCCTCCTAGTTTTTGGGACGTGGGATATTAAGCCCTGAGTAAGTTTACGTATGGCTGCCGATGAAGCAACCATCTGGGAGTATTACGAAGATATCACCTATATCATCTATATCATGTATAGATATAAAAAGGTAGAGCGACGGAACGATTGCTGAGTGCTTGTACGCGGCGGTAACGTTAGTCGGTTTTCCACTTTTTTTTTCCTTTTTTTTTTTGGTAATTTCGAACTTGACTTTAATGTCGTCGAAAATTGACGACGTTGGTGGCACGTGCCAGGATGTCGACGGATCAATTCCACGGATCGGTTATTCGGGAGCGGGTAGGAAAATTTCATGGTGCGACGAACTAAGCTTATCTAATCGTTATCAGCGTTAGATAAATCTCCGGGCTAGATCGTTACCCCGGATTATCCCCAGATTCCCGGTAGGTGTTGACGAAATGAACGGCCCTCTTATTTCCGTTCCCCTTCTCATATGAGGATAACGATTAGGGGAGTTTGGAGTTCTCAGGAAATGGAGAAGTCTCTATCACTCCGGGCGTGGAATTCGACAGGTGTCCAGGTCTCGATTATTCGTCTTAAATCTAATCACTAGGATAGGAGAATTCAAATTTGTTCCTATCATGGTTAACCAGTCCCCTGACAGCCGGGTGTGGATTATTCGCCAAGTTCCGAATCACCTTAAGGTACCTCTCGTTAAGGTCCTTCGACCAATAAGGCAAAATCAAAGTGGCCGCCATTATGCACGCATGCGCGTCCCCAGTTTTGACGAGTCCCTCGATGACTAGCAGCATCACTTCCTCGTCCTTGATCTTGGTGAAGTAATTCACCGAGAGGAAGTCTCGCAGCAGGTGTCCCGTGAAAAGGATCAGCTCCTGGCCAAGGACCTCGACATACCGTGGCACTAGACTACCAACTTTGTGGCCAAATTCTTCGGGCGAGGTGGAGTTTAGGATCTCTGCCCCAAAGCTGAGCGTCAAGTACGTGAAAGGGTCCTTAAGAGGAGGAAGCACCGGGGCCAAGGACTCGGCCAATCGCTGGACGACTTTGGCCGGGACCTTGTCCTTCCTGATGTGCTTGCTGAGGACCTCGACCACTTTCCTGACGGTGTTGTTAACAGGGCAGAATTTCGGGCACCTGGGGTCAGGCACGTCCCAACGCTTGCCGATGACTTCGTTTAGCAGTTTCGCGAAGAAGGCCAATCTCTGGTCCAATTTTTCCAAACTGGGGACTAGATACGTGGCGACAGAGAATATCGTCGCGGATGTGGCGATCGCGGGATTGTAGTTCTTGGGGAAGAGGTACTTCGTCAGCAGCATCTCGCACATCTTCTCCGGAAGGAAGGCGGCGATACTCGGGTCGATGTTGGCGATCAGGCGCGAGATGACCGTGGGGATGTAGTTAGGATCCTTGGAAGTGGACCTGTTGATGGCGTCCAGGACCCTGACGATGTACTCCGTGATGTACTCGTTAGGGACCTGAGCAAGATCGGTCAAGGAAGCCGTCAGTTCCGAGTCCTTCTCGGTGAGCCCTTCGATGCACCTCTGCATCAGCGTCCAGGTCGTCTCGCCGGGTTTCTCCAGGAAGAGCTGGCGGCTCTTCTCGAAGACGATGGCCCGAATGGAAGGATGGGTCTCGGTCGCCCAGGACTCCACCAAGAAGGTCGCCACCTCGTCCAAGGACGCCACTTGGATCACCAGCCTGATGCCGTGTTTCTTGACCGAGACCCTGCGTTCCGTCAGGGTTTTGGCGAAAGCCAGGACCTTCGAAATGGAGATTCTCCTCGCCACCTTGGTCAGGGTGGACAATACGTATTGCAGATAGTCGCCCTGGCAGAATGAGGAGACCAGCTCTAGGGGAACGGGAGGATCGGCAACTTCTATCGCCTTGGGGACGCTGAAGATCATCTGATATTTCTCCTTGGCCTTGTCTCCACTGGGGTCGATCCTCTCCTCGGAGGGCACCAATGGCTCCAGGATGCTGGTCAGGGTGGATCCGTGGACCAGCGTCGCCAGGATCACCAGCATACTCTCGTTCTTCTTCTCTGCCACGTTCTTCATGCACTCGTGGGCAAATTTAATCGGTATCTCCTGGTGCCAGCGGGTGGCTCTGAAGAACTTCAGCGTTGCCTTCTGGAAGGCCATGTTTTTCCCCTGGTCCAGAACTTTCTGCCAGTTCTTCAGGATCTTCTGGGGGTCCCTTAACAGTGTTCGATATGCCTGACCACTCGTTATGTCGAGTCCGTATGATTCCAGCCAGGTGCTCAGGAGGTCCTTCTCGTTCTTCTGCAACGTGATCTCGATTCGCTGGCGTTCGTAGGCATGTTCTTCGTAGGCCTGTTTGTAGGCGTTGTTCAAGGTGGCCTTCACGAGGTCCACCAACCAAGGAGTGTTCCGGACAGTCATTGTCAACTTCTCTGCTCGTTTGGTCGCCCGGACCCGGTTGTTGAATTCATAAATCCCTTCCATTAGAGAAGTGACCAGGTTCAGGGCCAAGACCTTGTCGTTTTCTGGAAGAGCTTTTTCGAGGTTTTTCAGGAAGTACTCCAGGCACTTCTTCTCGCATTCGGGATGTTTCTCCAGCATGTTCCACCTGCTGTACCAGATCGTCTTGTTCATCTCTATTATGCGGTCTAGGGGGACATCGGCCGGTTGATTCTGCTGGAATTTGTGGAACGCTAGTTGGGCAAGGATGTTCACGCCGATCGTCGCCCTGAACTGTAGCTCGTTCTTGACGTGAAGCAGCTCGACTATATTTTCCAACAAAGACCAGTGGTCCTTCCGGAGGTGGTCGAAGTCGACCCAGCTTAGAAAGGCTTCTAAGACGAGATACTTGACCCGTGCATCTTCGTTTCTATGTCGAGACAAGAAGTACTGCAGGAACTCCAGCAACGCTTCTTCGTCGTGGTTGACCGTACAACTGTAGACCATGTGTCTCAGCAACGATCCGCGATCCTCGGAGTCCTGAGCCTTGGCTACCTGTTCCTTTAACACGGGAATCGATTCCGCAGTCGGCAAGTAACATATCCAAGCGAGCTTCGAGGTGCAGTGACTCCAATTTTGATCCTTGACTTTGAGCCTCGCCTGTCTGACTCGTTCCTCCGTTGGCAGCAACAGCAACAGCTCGCTGGTAACGAGGTTACCATGGTTCAAGAGATCGTCCCCGTATACTTCCTTGAAGGTCTCCAGCAATATTTCCGATTTATCGGTCTTGACAAACTCGTTCAAGTAGCCGAGCATCCGGTCCAAGTCGAAGTCCTTCAGATCCTTGGGATAGAGATTTCGCAGCATGGTGATCAACTGACCTCTCTCCAAAGTCGCGGCGATCAATTTCATCGGCACTATCGTTAGGTAGATCTTTGGTTTATCTATCAGGTCCTGCAGGGACTTCCTAAGGAACATCTTCCCCGTTTTCCTACCTAGCTGCACTCCCGGTTTGTGCAACTCGACCAGCTCTTTGAACACATCCAAGTGATCTCTGACGAGTCTCGGGAGGAACTTGACGTAGTCGGTCATCTTGATATTGTGCAGGTCGCGGACTGTGTCGTTTCTTTCTCTCGGTTTACAGAGCTTCAGGTACCATATCGCTAGGTCGGGGAAGATCCTGAAGAGATTTTCAAGGATCTTGCAGGAGAGGACGATTCGGTACTCGACGATCTTCTGTCTGACGAAGTTCTCGCTGCAGGATACGAGGAGAGGCAGCGTCTCCTGGGTGCCGTACATCCTCGCGAATCCGGAGAAGAATTCCTCGGCTACTTGACGCTGCTCCTTGCTTAAATGGATCGCTAGACATTTTATTAATCTACACCTTATGCTCAAGGACACGTACGGCAGTAGGTGTTGGGAGAAGTACTGGAAGTTCGTGTACTCCCTGTGGCTACCGTCGAAGAACCACTCGACTTGGAGGGCCTGGTTGACTACGATCTCGATTTCCGACCTCAAGGCAGCCGCGACTTCGTCGCAGCTCTTCAGGATCTTCCCGATCTCCAACCTGACGTAGGGCACCAGCGATTCCGGCAGTTCTGCCGAAGGTGTCACCTGGACGGAATCACCTGGCGAAGGGACGGTCTCGGTGATCCCCTTGGCGATGCCCCTCAGAGCCTTGAACTTATCCGCAGGTGTACTCCCAGGTAGCGCCTGAATCGCCTGCAGATAAGGAAGCTGAACCTCCATTTCCCCCGATTCCCGAGATCCTCCACCTCAAGTCCCACCTGAAACGACAAAAAGTACTCTCAGCCTCACCTTGGCCTCCACGGTACCAAAAATAAAAATCTCACAAAACCCATAAACATCTTAAAAAGTCCCTAAAATCGAAACCCAAGTCTCTTCCCCCGTTCCCTTAAACCCGACCCTAACTTCAACTCGCTCGACTTGCGTTCTCCAAACACCGCTTTATCACAGAAAATTTCCCTGTTTCTAGGGCACCTAGCCTAATTAGACACATTTCCCTTAATCTACCGGAGATTTATCAGTCCTCCAGTGCGAAAAATACCGATACCTCGAGCCTAGTTCGTCTTATCCGCGCCGCAGACCCGGGCTGGGCGCGGCTTTGAGGTTAGGTCGACCTCGCGTCAGGTCACTGACAATTTACGTAGCTGCGGATTGCGTTAGCGAATGTTTCTCCAAAACTGCTCGGCGAGCCCGGCAGAATCGGACCAGGGCTTCTTGATCTCCCTCGATTTCCCCGGCTTTTCGAAATTTATACCTCCTCTATAGTGAGAGAACCGCGACGAGCAACACAAAAGAGACGCTCCGAGCTCTCGCGTTTACGCTCGCCTCGGCACACGAACACTTTGCAAATTCTCGGCTGTATAAGAAAGGCCTCCGTGTGTCGCGCTAAGTACTTTCCGCATCGGTATATAGACATCGAGAACACAACACGATAACGTCGTATAACGCCGTACGTATAGCGTTTAGTGGTGATTATCCGTCGTCCCCCCTCGGCCTCCCCCCTCGCCGACGAGTTATCAACGTACGACTCGACTCGCGAGTTTGCGCTTTTTTTCTTCTTCCTCTCTCTTTTTTTTTTCCCCCCTCTGCAAAGGCCGCAGTCAGCATTGCGAGGCGACATTTTGTTTCCGCAGGATTTTTCCCCCCTTTCCGAAGCTTTCCTCTCGGCGGAAGGACGCGAAGGCCGCGCAGCTTTCCCCGGGGATAACCGAATTCCCCGATATTTTGCCTACCGGAGGACAAAGCTGACGGGGATCGATCCCCGTCAGCTTTGTTGCTTTAATTCCGAGTGCATCCGACGTTCCCGTCAACCCGGCCGAGAGGGGCCGGCTTATTTGACGACCTAAGCGTCCCGAGGTGACATTTTTAGTCGCGAATCGCGCCGGGAACCTGGAGGAAGAAAAAGAGGGAGGAAAACATGAAGGGAAAGCGTGTCGAGGGCAGGGTGTAAGTTTGGGCTCTTTTTCTATTTTTTTCTCTCTCTCCGCGGAAATGGCGAGAGAATGGGAAACTCTAGATCGCTTAGAAAATCCACTCCCTTTCTGGAAATATCTTTGAACCCTTCCTTTGAGGTTCAGGCGCCTAATTTCGACGCCTGCGATTTTTTAGAGGACTTCATATCCGGGAAGTCTTCGGGAAGGGCAGAGAGAAATGTGGAAACGCAGTCGGGACGGGAAGAATAATTTTTTTTCTCGGTCGATATTTCCCTTAAATATGTAAATGTCTGGATAGACAATTCGGAGTGTGTGTCTGGGATACGTTGTCGACTTATTTTTAGCGGAGGAAGTCAGTTTGGTATTTCTTTTCTTTTTTTAGATATTATTCCTCGGCCGGAAGCGCGTCCACGAGGGCCCCTTTAAGGTTAAGGCGCCTAATTTCGACCCTTGCGATTTTTTAGAGGACCTTATATCCGGGAAGACTTCGGGAAGGGCAGAGAGAAATGTGGGAACGCAGTCGGGACGGGAAGAATAATTTCTTTCTCGGCCGACATTTTGCTTAAATATGTAAATGTCTGGATAGACAATTCGGAGCATGTGTCTGGGATACGTTGTCGACTTATTTTTAGCGGTGGAAGTCAGTTTGGCATTTCTTTTTTAGATATTATTCCTCGGCCGGAAGTGCGCCCTCGAGGCCTCCTGCAGAGCTCGCGTTCCTCTTCCGTCCACGGGGCCTCCGTTAATCTTTCTCGCGGTGGATAATTTGTTTATTTCCCGCGGGAATAGAACGGCTCCTTTTTTTCTTCTCGGCCAGGATCGGTGGTTCCATTTAGAAGGGTAAACTCTAGGAGATATTTCCGCTGGCTCGGGACCATCTCTCTCACTTCCCTCCTCCCCCTCTCTCTCTCCCTCCGTTTGTCTCCATTTTGGAAAGCGCACCGGTGTAAACGAGATATGAAAGTACGAAAATACGAAAGTACGGAATTGCGGGAATACGGAAATACGGCGACGTCTCGGAAGGTAACCTCGGTGGGTTCTCGCCCGGAGGAGCGGAAATGGCGTCGGTGAAGCCTGCAGGATTTTCCCTGATTCGGCTTATCGCGCCGCTTCCGGATAAATAAGACGCGTTAAGTGACGACGTGAATCTCGCCTGGATATGTGGTATAGCGCACGTAGGAATCTCTTCTCCATTTCCTGGTTAGAGCTTGCTGAGCTTCTTCAGCTTCCAGGCGAAACCTCTATCCCGTTCTGGGATGGTCGCCACTTTGAGGTCGATGTCGATGTTCAAACATTTAAGGCCAGATGTACTCTCCTCGATGGGCGTCCAAGGAATGGTCAGCGAATCCGCAGTCCCACAAGTCGGGTTCCTAGACATGACATAAATTGCACCCCATCAATCACCGACTCGATTTTAATCACACCTCCGCAAAATCGGAAATTCGGCCGCAGCCTCATAATCCGGAATTTATATTCGCTCGCGTCTCGGAAACGCCGGTGATGCGAGAGGCCAGCCGACAATCCAATCAGGATTTTGCAGGCGGCTTTATACAGGTGTAGACGAGTGCAGAAGCCGACAACAAAACGTCAACGAGGAAAATGATGCATCCGGTTGAATAATGATCGATCGTCCGGGGAAATGTGGATGAATTTTGTGGAGCTTTCGGGGGCAGGTTTGGCTTTCGACGGCGCAGCATCCCTTGCGAGGAGATACTGTCTCTCGAGTGGTCATCCCAGGTCGAGGAAGGATGTAACAAATGGCGAGGTCCGTCCAAAATGGTGAGGTCCAAAATTCATCCACAAATGTGGATGAATTTTGTGGAGCTTTCGGGGGCAGGTTTGGCTTTCGACGGCGCAGCATCCCTTGCGAGGAGATACCATCTCCCGAGTGGTCATCCCAGGTCGAGGAAGGATGTAACAAATGGCAAGGTCCGAGTCCTTGCGAGGATATATCCCCTTTGATAGGGGGTTGAGACCAGGGATTTTATTTTCTATCTATTTACCCCGTCCTGGCAAAGTCGCTCCACATTTTGGTCATCCTCTGGACGATGGTGTGCCCGATGGCGCCAAATTCAGGCGCCTCGACACCCAGGATCTCGTTTAGACCAGTGGCAAGGAACAGGTAGGGTAACTCGTCTGCGTGGCAGGCTCCTGGAACGTGGACCAGCAATCCGCCGTTAAGTTTAGCATCTTGTCTCGACGGATGCTTTGCGAGGGTCTGGTTCCTCAACGACCTACCGGGTATGTCGCTGTTTATTAGCAATTTCATGTAGGACGCCCCATTGTCGAAGGAGAACCTGTAGAGGTAGGTGGGCGCGAGGCCCTTCCGCTGGATGTTAACGACCCTGTAGATGCCGTCGAGGAAGTTCAGGTCGCTGAACATGTCGACGAACTCGTCTACGTCCCTCGACGTGACGGGTCGGTCCCCAAAATAGAGACGTCTAAGGTCCTTGCTCGTAGATCCTTGATCCTTGAGCGACTCCAAGATGGCAGGATTTAAAGTACCCTCGAAATCGGCGTTCAGACGCCGCAAACTGCCGGCCTGTAAATCTGCACATCCAGGACCTTAAAATCTTCTCAAGGATCTTCTACATCTGGACACTGGGTATTTTTACAGAGTCCTTACGCCTCGAGAATATGATTCCCTCGCGGTCGTTGTAGCCAATGATAAGAGGGACCTTGATCCCGTTCTGCGCAGCTATCGAAATGGGGACCCTCAAAAAAGGATTCGCCGACCAAGGATCCGGCCCCGGGCCGAAAGGAGTGAAGGTCTGCATCCTCCTCTGACAGAATCGACGATGGAAATTTTTCAACTGAGATTTTCTTATCCCAGGATTTCTGGTTAGTTTGAGAGAGAGGTTTATGGGCTTAGGAGGTCTTGAACCTGGTGCAAGGACATAGGTACTTGTATCAGGGCAAGGATCCGCAGATCTCTCCGGGGGAGTATGCTTATTTCTTTTCTTTCCATTAAAAGTTGGATTAGAAAAGTTGGCGGAGTCACCTCTGGCGTCGTCATCTTCTCCTGGGCCTCGACGAGCGTTTTGGCGTCGACGGTTCTGAGGAACTCGACGATAACCCTTGGGTCGGTGCTGACCTCGCCCAAAATGGCGGCGATTTCCTGGGCGGATCGTCTCGGTTCCCTCGGTCCACAAGCCCAGGGATTCAGGGCGACCCCGCTCTGGCAAATGGCCTTGTGGAACAGACCTGTAACCATTCAGGGATCCTGGAGTTCCACCCTCTCCATCCGCCGAGACTGGGAAGACAGGAAGTCCCGTACCTTCCGCAAGGGGAGAAAGGGTTAAGTAATGAACGGAAGCTCCCCCGGCGCTCTCTCCAAATATGGTGACATTTTTTGGGTCGCCTCCGAAATTCGAGACATTTTCCTGGACCCATCGCAGAGCCTGTACCTGATCCTTGAGCCCTTGGTTCCCGGGGGCCACCTCGTCCTCGAGATTCAGGAACCCTGGAAGGCGCTCCGAGTTACTCCACGATCAGAATACTGATTTCATACCCATTGTCTTCATCCTCCACGACTGCAGGATTTTTACCCAGCACCCCAAGCCTGTAGTTGACGGTAACCAGGATCACATCCTTGTCCATGAAGAAGTCAGGCCCATAAAGGAACTCGTCACTACAGCCGAAGGTGAATGCCCCACCATGGATCCACACCATCACAGGAAGTGATCTAACCCTCCTCGTCAATGGCTTGTACACGTTCAAGTAAAGACAGTCGTCACCTCCCTCGAATTGTTCAGTTTTTACGTCGAGTTGGGCGCACTTTCCACCATGGCTCCCCGCGTTCAGGACTCCTGTCCATGGTTTCTTCGGCACTGGGTCCTAATTCGCAAGGATAAATTACGTAAACGAATTCTGCGCATTCGTTCCAGTCCTTTTTTTTTTTTTTCTAGCGATTAATTAAAATACTACCCGGGAGATTATATCTCGTTATTTTCGGTTCATTTTTCGCGCGCGCGTCACGTGACCCGACCACGTGACTGGGCCACGTGACCGCTGGCGTCCGTCATGTTGGCAGCGCTTCTGGACAACGTGCGGAATCGAGACGTGAGGAACGTATTTACGAGGCTCCAGAGTCTGAGAGAAATGCAAAAGAGAAACTGACCTGAAATCTGAGCAGGCCGACCGGTGGCTCGGCAAAAGGAATGCCCAGAAAGGCGAAATATCTCGCTCCGTAGACGCTCTCCCGACAAACGCCACGCAAGTCTTCCAGTCGCGTCCGCACGATCGTGTCCGCCATCTTGGAAACCTAGCCGTGTCGTGGAATCGCCGCTATTTGTAAACTCAAACCAGTTCCCACTACGTTCAGCGTTTTCCTCTCCTTCTCTCTCTTTCTTTAAATCGAATACGCGGATAATGACTCGTTCAAACTAGAAGTGTGCTTATTGATATGCTAATACATTGATAAGTTAGCGATAATTTATCGACAAGTGACGTAGTTCTTGATGAGTCAATTCATTGATAAATAATTGACTGCGCGCACATCCAGTATAAATGCGTCCGGATATTTTTTCTTCGATTTAAAGCGAGGATTTTACTCGCCGTGCATCTTTTATTCGAGAAAAGCCGACGCTCCCGTCTGCCCTAGTTTTTTTTAGCATTAAGCGACCCATTTACTCTTTCAGCACCCTTTACGTCACAGTCCTAAAACGACTCGGTTGCTCCTCGCATTTAGAGAATTATCCCCAGGGGTGTGGGCTTTGTCATCGCGAGGGAGTTCACCGGGAGCGCCGAATTTTTCGGCGATTTCGATGCCGCGGGCGCCATTTTGAATCCCGGCTGCCGCGTCGCCTACCCGTTTGGAGCCGAGAGACTCTTTTTATTTCGCTTCCTGGATTCTAGGTACGGTCGGGGACTCGCAGACCTCTTTCCAACCTCTTTTCAACCGCTTAAAGCCGATAAGACGACCTTTCTTCAAGCGGCTCGTAAATAATAACCCGTAAGGCACGTCAACGAGGTTCCTGCGTCGAGCCTTGACCGCGCTCGGGTAGTTAGAATTATTTTGCATAACTCGTTTACCGAGAAGGTGGAGACCGGGATTTCATGTCGATAGATTCAGGGCGAAGTACTCTCCCGAGTTAAAGTACACCGGGGGTGATCGTCTCAACGATGGGAAAGGAGTTCCTCGTCTTCATTGAGATTTATACGACTCGACTCGTGTTTCTCTTCGCTCCCCATTGTTCGCGGCGCGCCGCAATGAACGAAGAATGGCGATTACTGGCCACAGGGGGTTGCTTTGCACCCCTCGATAAGCAAAGCAGCGCGATGCGGTTTACGTGGCGAGCTTCGAGGTCGAGGCTATTTACCGGCGCACCCTCAGTGCTGTAAATGCAAATAGCGGCCGCGATATTACGGAGGATCGCAAAAGTGAGGACTTCCGAAGGGGTTGCGAGCTCCCCGGGGGGAATTCAATTAAGTCCCTTCGAGACGACGCCCCTTCGGGGGATTTTTCCCTTTTTCGAGCCCGGGCTGAGGCCACTCCTCCTCGGGCTGATTAACCCCTTCGAAGAGCAGGGGGGTACTGGGCCTCATCTTAAATTCCAATTCCGACAGCCGGGACATGGCGTCTGTTGACACAGACCCCTAAGGCTCTTACGCCACCCTTCAAACTCTGCCTCGAGGAGGAGGTCCGAGATAAACCGCGGAAATCTCGGCCGAGGTGCATCCGGCGAATGTTTTCTCGCGGCCGGAGGCTTCGTCCCGGAAGTTCGTGCCGAGGAAAACGTCGGGCGGGCTCTGCTTGTTTGAATTTTAAATGGAATTTCGGAAGGCCCGGGGTGATCGCCCGGGAATTTATTTCCGGCTCCTCCACCCTCGCGGCCTGCCTCCCGTCCACGCGGCCGCGCTAATCCTTTCACCGGGATGAAATAAATTAAACGTTCGCTAATTAATTTTCCACGTGCAATTCCCGCGGGAATTAAACCGATATAGGTAGGTATCCGGAAAACGCGACCGATGTTAGGAACGCGCGGTTTAATCCCGTTTGTCGATCCGTCTCTTTCTTTTTTTTTTTCTTTTTCGTGCGATTTGCGACCGGGATTATTGGATCACCTTGGCGAGAATTCGAGAGGATTCTTCCCCCCGGGGGGAGGATTCGCTCCTCCGCAGAATCCATCCGATGGTCCGGCGAGGAAACTGGATGTATAGCGGGGCTGGTCGCTCTCGACAAATTATTCGACGACAGATCGATCAAGCCTTCGGGACGGCGACGTGTAAAAGCGAGCGCTTTTTCCCCGGCATGCACGGGCGGAGTTATGCGAATGATGAATTGCCGGATACTCGCCCAAAAGGGCGCCCGAAACCGGAAGCGGGAGGAGCCTCTTCGGCGTCCTCTTCCACGAGTTCACGCACGTGTCGCAGAACCACCCCAGGAGCGGGATATCCTCGAGGAAACCGCGCCTGAAATTGAGAGATCAATACCCGGCCGATCGTTGTCGGAAAGAAACTCGGGCGGCCAGCGCGCTGAGTCGTTGCACTTGGTGCGAGACGCAGTCGGCGTGGCAGAAGCCACTCCAGGGGTGGGCTTTTTAATTCCCGGCACTGAAGGTCGGCTAATTGGCAACTAATTTCCATCCTCCAGGGATCCTGGGATGATACAATTATTTTTCGTCGCAGGTTTCTCCAAAGCAGAGCGCAAGGAGACGCGTAGATCTAATTTTTATCTCGGAAAATGCAGCGTTCCAAGAGGCTTGGATAAGGAAGGAGGCGTTTCTAGGGGGCGGAAGTCTGTGGGAATTTTTCATCTCGTACTTTAACTGCAAAGGACAGGGCGCACTTGAAGAGTAATTGGGTAACATTGATTGAAAGACGCCTCTCTTTTCTGTTTCCCTGCCGCCGTGATGTAATATCCTTTATTGCAGATGCAATTCCTGGGAACAAACAAGCCCTGGGAACAATCGGGGAACCTGCGAGGGCTGGCGTCATCCTTGGCCGAGTTGCGCCCCGCTCGACGTTGACAAAAGAAACATTTTTTTTACGCCGAAGCCAATTGCAAGTTCAACTCGATTACGGGAAGTTACCATGGCCAATCTGTGCTGCTGGGAGGTGGAGAGTTGAAAAATGGAAAACAAGAACCGGAACAACCTCTTAAGGGAAAAACTTGCGAGCCTTAAGGGGGCCTCTCCCCCCGAAGCTTGCACTTTCGAAAGAGGCCCTCGTAATTACTCGTAATCTCGTAGCCGGGAAACTCGTTGTTCCCGGGGGCGGAAAAATTTGTTTATCATAATTAGGTGCCGAGAGGAGGGCCGGGATTATTAATCGCCCCGCTCTGACTCCCTCTTTTTGCCCTCTTTTGTTGCCCGCCAGCGAGGGAACCTCGTCAGCTGGCGGACTCGTTATTAAACTTTTCCTTTCGTCGGATTTTTCCGGAAAGAAAAAAAGAAAAAGGAAAACAAGGCCGAAAACGGGAAATAGGGACAACCCTTCGGCACGAAGCTAGGGACTCAAAGTCGATCCACCGAGTCAATTAGCTCGATAGCGAAATTCCGTTCCATTTGTTTAATCAAACATTCATTTTAAACTCACCTCCATTTCCCAGTCAAAACGCATCGAACAAATGTCAACGGTGTCCATTGGCTCGGCAGGAAATCCCCTTTAATTCATTTATTCTCGTTCCCCGAAAACGAATTCTCCCGCGCCCCTCCCTCTGAAAACCGGGGTGGACAAATGTTAATGGAGCCTCGCTTTCAGCTTAATATCAGGGCGAAGGTATTGCGGGGGAAACGCCATTATGCCGGGCGTTATGCTGGCGTAATGCATTTTTCAGACATTTTCCGAGGCGCAATGCTTGTCGCACATCTCCAATGCCGTCCGCGTCCCGACGTGGAAATAGTGTCCGTCTCGGGCCTCCGTTCGCTTGCAGACATTCCTCCTTCTTCCGGTAACATTTCTTCGAAGTAGTTTTCAGAAGAACAGGGGTCGAAAGTCCCTTTCATCCCTTGGAGTCGCAAACCCTTCGGCTTTTCCAAGATGGCCGCCGCCGGCGTCTGGAGAACGACCACGTGGTCACGCTGAACCAGGGTTATAAATCTAAAGAAAAGAACGGCCAAATAGCGTTCCTTTCGCCCTTCCACTCGCTTGCAGGTATTTCTTACTTCTTTCCCTCCTTTTTCTCCAGCTTTCCGAAAGAACCTTTCATTCCTTGGGGTCGCAAAACCGTGGTCGACAGTTTTTCCAAGATGGCCGCCGTTCGCGTTTGGAGAACAATCACGTGCTCGCGTCGAACTGGGGCCATGGATCTACAGAGAAAAGGCTAGCGAGTATTCCATAACCAAGTTAACTATATGCTCCTTACGTTTTTTCGTAGATTCCTCGGCAAAACTATCGACTCGGTCAAAAAGACGGAACCTCGTCGATCCATCGAACGATCGTGCCAAGGTTCATGGAGAAATTGGATTGGCTCGTGCGTGGCCCTGCGCCAGCGAGCCAATTAGCGTGCTTCAAAGGGAAGTATGCCCCCTGTAGCCATTTGCAGCCCTCGCATTAACTGGGCCCCAATGAGCGCCCGACTCCAGGGGAAACTTTGTTACGCGACCGCATCATACGCCCCCGCATTCGGTGTTTTTCCCTCGGTTTCTTCCACCCCCTCGAGAGCCACTTCGCTTGCACCTTCTCCCCGGGAATTTGCATATGAAATTATTCCTCCGCATATCTTGGGTACAAAGTGAATAACCGCGTTTAAGGGAAGCGCCGCGTCGCCCGTGAAGTATCTCGTAGAGTGTTGATTTCGTTTCGCGTCCTGTTTCCCTCTTTTCCGCGTCGGCTGCAGTTCCTCGGACGGGAATCCAATATGGCGGCCGCGCCGAGGCGACGGCATGCATGGAGATAACCTATTTTCCTTGATACCCGGCTCCTCCGTTGGGGAGGAACTTCGAAGAATACGATAACACCCAGGAGATCGAGCCTGCCGAGAGAAAGTCCTTTCCCTTGTCTTCTGGGAGTCGCCGACTCGATTTTCGCGTCCGCCGCCCGGAAACTGTTCCACGTTCCCTTCCTTCGGGAAATGGGGACGAAGAGCCGGGAAACACGGCCCAGGTTTACCAAAATGTCCGGGAGAAATCAACGTTTCCACGTAGGTTGGACCGCAAAGAGAAAAGTAGCCCGAAGTTGGGGTCGGGAAGTTCAGACCACGTCGACGACACCGCGGTTTCATTTTCCCCGCCAGCAGAGGGCCACGGGGCAACTTTTCCTCGCGTTTCAGGCGCGTGGGAAGGATTTCCCTGATTTCCAACCCGGGCTTCTGGCTCTGCCTTGCCCCGTAAAAAGGGAGACA